TTTTCCTACAGAAATGTCACATGACACATTCCTTGGCCCTGCTGGCTTGAGGACTCTCCAGCCACATGGATAGGTCCTGAATTTTTAGCTTTGCTCCCTCTACATTGCCCTGATCTGTGTTTTCCTAATTCGCCTGTGTTTAATTTATACCACACCTTGCTATATTTCATGTATCCTGGTAAATTGCCTCAAACTCTTTTGGAATAAGGAGTCTAAACAGATACTTATGCAAAGGGTTCAGAACAAAGAAAAATAATACAAGTGTAAAGATATAGGCATTAAAAAAGGGTTAAAGCCTAGTTTATTTTGCTCCTGAGATCATGAGATTTACCAAGGCACTAAAAGAAAAGAGCTCTTGTTACTAAAAAGGAAGAGTTTAAATTGATTCTGAATTTAAAATATTAAGCTATACTTAACCAAATTAGCATATTTTCCCAACTAAACTAAACCCTAAATAAATTCTTTCTCTGATAATGATGGCAAAATATCCCACTCAGCTGCTTAGTTAAGAAATCAGATCTTCTCAAGCTCCAACATGACATGCAATTAAGTCTGAGGAGATATTTTTCTAACTTTATTTTAAAGCAATGGATTTCAGCCTTGGTTGCAAATTGAAATCACCTGTGTCCCAGCCCAAGGAGGTTACCATGTATCGGTTTAGGATACAGCCTGGGAATGAAAGTTTCCAGGAGCTCCCAGGTGAGTCTAAAGTGCATATAAGGCTGAGAACCCCTGCTTTCAAGCTAAGCACTGAGATGTATTTCTCTTTCAATGAAATGGTGAGAGAAATATCTATCTCCTAGGCACATTTCCACACTGCAACTTAATCTAAAAAGAAAATCTGTAGAGATGTACAAATACTATCAAGTGAATTAGGTATTTCTAACTGCAATAGATGACCCAATACATCTTTTAAATGTATATAATACCCTCCAAGCATCTAAAGAATTCCTTAAATGACATAGGGGTAGCCGTGTTAAATAAAAACACTTTTTAGAAAGTTGTTTTACAGGGTGCACTTCCATCAGCATCAAAACAAAAGGTAACCTAATCAATATTTATAAATAACTAAATACTATAAGTAGTAGGTTAAAAAAAAAAAAAGCATGAACTTCAGCGATTTCAAATGGTAGCCAAGAAGTAGAAGGAAAAGATTAACAAATTTCTTATAAGAGTAATGTATTTTTCTGGACTGTCATTTTCAACCATGACAAATGTCATTGTGAAGAGTTCTTTAATTATAAAAAGTGATAAACCATTTATGCAGCAAACTCTTGCCTCTTTTAGAAGAAAAGAAGTACCAGCAGAGAAAAACCTATTCAAGGAAGAGTGAATCAAATATCACTCGTGACGCGTTTCAGATGAAGCTACACGAACAGACCCAGCTCTCTAAGCCACAGAGATGATTAACTACTGTGCCATAGCTTGGTTTGGCACTTGATGACATGTCTGAGTCTCATTTTGCTAGACTTCTCAGGGAGCCACTGTGTTATATTCCTTGACTGTATCTGTGACAAATGTGTCGCTTGGATTTCAGAGTTCTATGATCTCTTCCAACTTTGATCTTATATTTTTCTATCTTGGTGATTTTTTTTTTTTTTTACCCTTTCCTGTCCTTGTGAAGTTTAGTCCACTGTCGTATGACAGTCTCTCTTGTTTCTAGCTTTGCATCTTACCCCTATCCTCAATTCAGACTCTGCCAGGCAGTGCTATTGGCCTGACCTCCTAGTGGGTGGCTTTGACCCTGTCACAGCCCTTGTTCCTTCCTGTCACAGTCCCTCAGGCTTGGCACCTCTCTGCCTTTCTTGAAAGCTCAGTCTACTGCTTTGCCACTCAAAGTCTGTTCCTGGACCCACAGCATCAGCATCACGTGAAAGTCTGCTGGAAATGCTGATTCCCAGGTTCTATCCCCAACCCTTTCTGATCGGACTCTGCATTTTTAGCAAGTTGCGCAGGTGATCCACACCAAGTGTGGGAAGTGCTGCTCCAGCTCACATTTCTGCCATGGATTGAGACCTAATTAAGGGAACAGGGTATTAGAAGTGATTTGTTCTGTAGGAAGAATTGACTAATGTGTTTTTGTTTGTTTTGTCTTGTTTTTTATCATTTCAATTTGTTCAACTTTAGGCCATACTTTAGTCATTTTTAGGGGTAGGGACAAATGAATTTGTTCGGGAATAAATGTCTTTTTCTAGCTTTATGAAGTTAGGCATTAGGAAAAGCTTGAGTAATTTAGCTGATAGAGTGTTACCAAGGAAGTGTTCAACTGGCAACCGTTATCACTGTTTTGAAAAGAAATAGAGGATGTAGGATGTATTTTTGCAGAAAGAATATTTATATTTTTCAAGTTTTTACTTTCTGTACCTCTCTGGAAGGCAAATAAACAAAAGGTTTATATGTAAATTCAAATAAGGGTATATAATCAAAATGTGTATATAATGAAAAGAAACTAGAAAATTTAGTGAATTTCTTAGGAGTTTATACTTGGTTGGAAGCACTTTAAATCGCATATATATTAAGGAATAAGATAGGCCTGTAGAGGACCTTATTTTTTCTGTCTCTGCCCCCTTGGTGGAAATGTTATTTATTAGGGAGTCAGTGATAACACAGGTCATATTTCAAGACTGAGTGGCATGTGTTTCTCAAGGCAAGTTTCAGCGTGTCCTTAAGTATTAGAGGCTCTACTGCATGTTAAAACTGCTTTGTAGGAAAATGGATGGTATAGGAGTGGGGGTCATGAGCCCCTTAGCCAGGTGGTGATGAGCAACAGCCAAGCTTCATAGAAGAAGAGTGTGAGCATAAGGGTGATCATACTAATGCAGATTTACTCTCAGGTCCCCTTCCCGTTTTTGATCTGTTCTTACACTACTCGTGTAATCATATTGGTATGTCAGTATCTGTGTTCCCTTTTAAATTCTCAGAACATTTTAATGTCTGTCCAGATGGTATCTCTAAATACCTGGAGTTTTGAAGGAGTACACACACACACACACACACACACACACACACACACACACACACACACACACACACACACTTTGCTCACTGCAGTGTCGGGAGGAAGGAATACACACACACACACACACACACACACACACACACTTTGCTCACTGCAGTGTCGGAGAACCTGATACTCGGGGAGGAAGTGATACCAACCATCTAAATGCAAAGGACTGAAAAAAACGTGTTTTTCCAGACTCTGGCCCAACCTTGTCTTAGATGCAAAAAAAAAAAAAAATTGCCGTTTGTTTGAGCTTTCGTTACTTATTGTGCATTTTGATGAATGATTTAAAAGTTTGGAGTTATAGAGCTAGAAAGACATTCATTTGCATTTAGAGCACACCTGTATTTAAGAAACATTGTTCTCATTTCTATGAACACAGGGCATCTGTTTAAACTGAACCCTCCGTAATGCTGCAGGCCTTCAAAGTGGGCCAGCCCCATATTGAGCAGGTGCTAGCAACTTGAAATAGGAGTGGCCAGGGCAGTGTCCTGTTTCTACTTCAGAAGTGTCTTGTGGTATCAGAACCCAACACCGGAAACAGATGGAAACTGGACCTCAGGTTTCAGATCTTTTTCAAAGGATAAGAGTTGCTGCATTGAAAAGTGTCAGATTTAGAAAGCATGTAATCAGTTAAATGGATGAGGGAAATGATAAAGGGAAAATGTGTATATAATGAAAATAAACTAGAAAAATTAATGAATTTCTTAGGAGTTTATACTTAGTTGTAAGCACTATAAATAACATATATATTAAGGAATATGTATGTGTTAATAAGTTACAGTATTTTGGCCAAGTTGCCTGACGTATTGCATCTTGCTATTAATTTGAAGAGTGGGTAGTACTGGACATTACCAAATTGAAGTGTTCTGCTCAGGTAATTTTGAGTTAATACGAAGTTATTATTGAATGTATTTATAGGATGCACAAATACACTCTGCTTTCATCCTAAATACATGATAGCATACGTGAAGTTTCTCTGATGGCTTAGGTTATTCTTGTGGTTTTTGAATAGCACCTTGAAAATGAATTACACTGGACTGGTACCTTTGAGGTTACATTAAATTGAAGCTTTATGGGAGTCATTTTGTCAATGACTTAAAATAGCAAACTAAAACCAATATGAACCTGAGTATTGCAGAAAAATGTGGTTTATTGAAGGTTTCCATTTGTTTTATTTCAAAGCTTTATTGTTTTATATCTTTATATAAAACTTTTCTTCTCTATAATAGCTGTGTTTCCAAAATTTGACTCAGAAAACATTATTTTCCTGCTTTGTTAATATGAATTAAACAATGACAAGTTATCTACTTTGTAGGACTTCTCAGAGCTTCTGATAGTACTTTGAGTACTCCCTTTGACTCTTTTGGAGTGAGTCATAGTATTTGATGTTTCCCAAGCTTATTTTACTTGGCCTGCCCCACTTTTTCCTCCCTACCACCTTTTTTTCTTGGTGGGATATCTACCATGGCAGATAGTTGGGGAAATGATACTTGAGAATTTTCATGTGTATTTTCTCATTTGCCGTCACAGCATTCTTGAGGTACAGAGACAGTTTTGCTGTCCCCTTTTGGATGAGGGAGGAGCTAAGTAAGACCCACCAGAGTTCAGCCTGGTACCAGGATGCAGGCCTCCTAGTAACTCACCCAGTGTTTTGTCTCTTGGTCAAGTCTTTGGTTCAGGTAGGAGGTACTTTGGTTCAGGTGGCAGAGCTCTCTGCTGGCAGAGTAGGGGTCATCTGGGTGAAGTAATGATCTAGTGTTCCTCTGTCCTGTTGCCAGCCCATGGGGCTCTATGGTCTCCTGTAGAGAACTTTATAAGTCTTGCAAATTTATGAGGGAGAGTTTGTCCTTATGTAACTTATTTGAAGTACTGGTTTAGGCAGGCCCTCAGGTATGCTTTCAAGTAGAAAAGTTACCCAGGTACTCACCTGTGCCACTTGTGTTTTACTTCTGCTTTTCACCTTTTGGTACGATGTCATGTTTTGTTCTTTTTCTAGAAAGAAATTCAAGCCATGAGTCAATGCAGCCATCCCAATGTAGTGACCTATTACACCTCTTTTGTGGTAAAAGATGAACTTTGGCTGGTCATGAAATTACTAAGTGGAGGTAAGTGGGTTTTGTTGTTTGTTTGCTTGTTTTTATCCACCCTTTTTGTTGAAGGCAGCATATTTAATAAGACTTTGGATTTGATCCCCTTACTCCTGTGTTTGAAAGTTTGTTTGGTTTATCATTATTGGGAGGATAAAGCCCAGATTTCTTAGCATTCATCTTCAAAACATTTCATAATTTGGCTTAACTTCCTAGAATATCTGTGTCCCCTTCTCCAGGATGACATCCCTGGCCGTCTAGGTGTAGGTGCGTCCCCCTTGTACCATAACACGCTCAAGTCTTTCGGCCTGCCCTGTGCTTGTTCTCAGCCCTGCACGTCTCTCCTTCCTTTTCCATGGTCTCCAACTCTAAAAGGTCATACCTTGTCTGCAGCCATCACTCACTCAGAAAAGTTAATCAGTCCTTTCTCTTTAAACCCTTCCTTTTTAACATAATTCAGGCACTTAACACATTGCAATATACTGAATTATTTCAGTACTGTGTATTAGAACATTCTGTGATGATGGTAATGTCCCATAGCTGTGTACTGTCAACTTTCCACTAATCCCATGTGACTCCTGAGCACTTGACATGTAGCTAGTGTAACTGAGATACTGAGTTTCTATTCAATTTTAATTAACATATATTTAAATAACCTCATGCAGCTAGGGGCTATGATATTGGACAGTGCAGACTTAGATTGTGGACTTTGTGAAGAAGGAACTTTCTAATGCACTTTGAATTCAGTGAATCTGGTGTCCAGTAGGTGCTCAATAAACGTTCAGTTTATATGGGGAGAAATGCATGCTAAATTATTTACTTGCAGTGTTGACCAGAAGTGGCACTATTCTCTTATTGTTGCATTTGAAAAGGGAAAGTAACTTCCCTTCTCTAGCCTTAGACCCCTGAAGTTATGCAAGCCTTTGACAATTTAATTTATGAGGCACTTTCACATCTCTGTATTTATTTCTCTTAATCTTGACAACCGTTAAACTTTTATTGAACACTTTTTCTGTGACTAGATCCTGTCCAAGGCAATTTTCTGGCCTTATCTCATTTAATCTTCACAGTGTCCCCAAATGGCCTATGCCACCATCCCTGTTTTACACAAATTATACCAGAGCTCAAGGGAGGTTAACAACTTGCCCAAGGTCACACACATAGTAAATGCTGGTGCTGGAATTTGAGACTCCAAAACCTGTTGACTTAAAAACAATGCTATGTTGAAAGTATTTTCACCTTTATTTTACAGACCCAGGCATGGAAGCTTAGAAAGCCCAAGTGATTTCCTTAGTAACACCCAGCATCCCCACTTCTCTAGTGTGTTCTCTTTCTAGGGCATCACTCCCTGTATATCTTTCAGGAGCAGAGAAGAACATTTAGCTGTGCTTGGACAAAGCTTCAGCTGGCACAGCAGAATTATATGATAGAGCCCTTTTAAAATCTGCAGACCCAGTTCCAGCCAATACTGAATTCAGGGATGTGTCTTAAAAAAAAAATTTTTTTTTTTTTTTTTACAAGAAACTCTTGGTTCAAGCAGAGGCCCCAAAATGAGGTAATGAAGGGATTGTAATTGGCTTGGTCTGCTTGTGTAGGTTTCAGTAGGGAGCCCTGAAGAACTTGGTTCTGTTTTGTTCCCAGTCTTCCACAACCCTATTAGTCATTGTTTTCTTGAGTGCCTACCTTGGTTTTTAATTCAAAAGGAAAAAAAAGAAAGAAAAAGGAAGTCTGCCAAAGTTGGACTGTAGGATTGAATGTTGGGACTGCTCTTCGCTCTGCAGAGGATTGTGCTTTGCCAACGAGAGTATCTTAACTGATTCTCTTCTTGTGGGGTTCTACTAACTGAGGATATGAGACATTCTGATGACCTGTAACCCAGAGTAGTCCAAAATACTCGGGTCAACCTGAAGATATTACGTCAGTTAACCTTTTACTTTTATAAAGTTGAGAATCCCTCTTCCCTCTTTTCTGAGGAGGATCTGTCAGAATATTGTACTTTTTTTTTCTTTTTTAAAAGAGTCCTGCTCAGTTTTCCTGGGCTTTAGGTAAGAATAACAGGTTTTTGTTTTGTTTTGTTTTGTTTTTGTGAGTTGGAGTCTCACTCTGTCGCCCAGACTGGAGTGCAGTGGCCGCTCCCGGCCACCGCAGCCTCGACCTGCTGGGCTCCGGCGATCCTTCCGCCTCAGCCTTCCGAGTAGCCGGAATTACAGGCATGCGCTACCACGCCCGGCTGATTTTTTGATTTCTTGTAGAGATGAGGTCTTGCTGCCCAGGCGGGTCTCGAACCCGCGGGCTCGGGCAATCCGCTCACCTCAGCCTCCCAAAGGCGCGGGATTACAGGCTGAGCCACCGAGCCCGGCAGAATAACAGATTTTAAACAGGTTTCCACAGGTAAGGAGAACATGGGCAGATGTGGGCTCTTGTTCATTTTCTCCCCACAAGCAGGCCAGAAATGCATATATGATATATTCTTATAAAATAAAAATAAAATGTTTTTGGAATTCTTATTTTCTAAATGAAACAAACACCAAGAGTCAATAAATAAACAGATTTTTTTTTTTCCTCACTGAGAAGGAAAATGTGCATTCGTTTTCTTGTATTTTATTTTATCACACTGAATCTCTGAATGAGCGGCAGGCAGCTCGTCTGGTGCAGTAATATCTGATGGGGAAACTCAATCCTCTTAGTTAATTATAAAGAGCCTAGAGCCAAATTCAGGTCCTGAGGTAAGCCATTTGTTAACTCTTCAGAAATGTTGAACCCCCAGGTAATTATGACTTTAAAAATGACCCAGAGGTTTAGAATAGTAATTAATATGTGTTGAAACATGAATTCACAGTGCCAAGGATACTAATCTGCATATAACAAAGTACTAGGTATTTATTTCTTTATTGTATCAGTACATTAAGCATTGGGTAAATGAAAATAAAGATCTCTTAGTTTTCCAGGAAGGGGTCTTCTGGTTTTAAGCAGTGGTCTAGGGGCAGCATATTTCTTTCCCTCTTCCACTAATAAAGTAGGTGGCCAGCCAGTGTGGTTCTTTGTCTGAGCAGTCCACTGCTGCCTTTCCCCCTGACCGCCTATTCCTTTCTCTGTCAGGTCAGACTCCTTGAACCCTTTTTGGCATCTGTAAGCAATTGTATGTCTCAGGAAAAGGGAGTAACCATGAAGTGGCTGGCAATAATCTTTTGGTTCCTGACCCAGGATCTTTCTCCTTAAGTTCACACTGAAATTGCTCTTGCAAACTTAGATTTAGTATTTCAGGTTATTGGGCTGCTGTTTACTTGTTTGTGTACCTTGGGAATAGTTAAATTGAATAAACCAACCAAAAAAAAACCTCATAGTTTGATGTTCCCATGTAATTTTCTGAAAAGACAATGAGGATGCTTATACAATTATTTTTTTGATTTGATTGTCCTCTTAGGTTCAATGTTGGATATCATAAAATACATTGTTAATCGAGGAGAACACAAGAATGGAGTTCTGGAAGAGGCAATAATAGCAACAATTCTTAAAGAGGTTTTGGAAGGCTTAGACTATCTACACAGAAATGGTCAGATTCACAGGTATGTCCTCTGCAGAGAAATTTAAATTTAGTTGTTCATGTCTTTAGCCCTAGTTTGTAAAGAATGTTAAGGAAACATGTTACAGGTAGGTATTGGCTTGACTTCTAACTTAGGCTAAATGGAGATGGGAAGAAAGTACTTAGAAAGAGACAAGAGTAAGTTTTGATGAATTATAAAGGCATCCCTGGGATCGGTTAATGTGCTTTCATTGAAATAAGAGCAGAATGTAAAAAAGTACTGTGTGGACTCCTTAAAGAAAATCAGTTAACATAACTACTCTTGAAGTTGAACTGGATAGCACCTGTAACTTTCTAATACAGGCAAAACTGTTCCAAACATTGTAATATGTTAATTATTTTTGACATAGTGTTGAAAGGGAAGAAGGCACTACTTTCATCTTCTTTTGTGACATAAAATGTTAATTCTTTAAGTAGTCAAACAGCATAGAATATGAGTTCCTGATGCTTCAAATGAGTTGGTGCAACTTGGGCTCTTCGGAATTTTTGCAAGTAAACAACCATTTACCAGTAATTCTAATACTGTGATTCCCCTACCCTGAATTACAAGTGAGCTTTGTATTTAATGATAGTAGCTACACTTTTTTAACAATTAGAAAACATATTACTTTAGAAGTCAAACTTATAAATTTCAAATTGTCATCTTTCTTTGTGTTAAGATTATTCTACATAGCTTCTATGTAGTGCAGAAGTATAGGATATTATAATTTTCTCAGTTTTGTGCTAAAATGATTTATAATCAGTATCTTCCCACAGGAGAGACTGATCAAATTTATTTTTTAGAGGAAAATGGGATTAATTTGGAGTTGCATCATAGACACATTTAAGTGGAAGTACACCAGTTTTATGTAGACTGGAATTTAATACTTGGTAGAATGACAGTATTATGAGTTTATAGGCAATTTCTAATTCAGAAGCATAAAATAGTCTACTCACTAGTGATTTGATTCAATGTGGATAATGATTTCTCATAAAATATTTGTTCCTAAAATTTGAACTGGAGTAAACTACAAAATGACAGTACATCCTTATAACTTTTAAAATCTGATATAATTTTGATATTTATAAAATAATAATTATGTCAAAGAGTTGCATTGTATGATATGTTTCAAATCTTCCTGAGTGAATCAATATGGTATAGTGTCTGTGTTCCACATTTAACTTCTGCTTTTTATTTTATTTTTTCTAATAGGGATTTGAAAGCTGGTAATATTCTTCTTGGTGAGGATGGCTCGGTGCAAATAGCAGGTAAAGCTGATAAAGATAAAAATTCTTTGTTTGTTTACAGAAATGTTTTAGATTTAAGGAATGTAGAATAATTCCTGAGAAATGAATAAATGCATGTAATCTTTTTAAAGAATGTATCTGATCTGCCCTGTTTTACATGGCATATATTTACAGAATGTTTGGGTCTGAAGGATAACACGTTTTCCTGTTGTTTTGACTAGTCAAATTAATTTTTAGAGGGAGATGGGATTAATTTAGAATTGTACCACAGACAAATTGAAGTGGAAGTAGAACAATTTTACATAGACTGGGCTTTAATACTTGGCACATCTTCATTAGATTATCCTGTAAAAAATGCTGTTTTAGTACATAGCCTTTTGATAAGGAACAGTTTTACTTTCAATTTTTTATGTCTTCTTCTATCTTTCAGGTAGGTTGTATAATGGTAATACTTATATCACTGCAAGAAAAGCACTTTTGAAAAAAGTTTTTGAGTTTGAAAGTTTAAGACATTGTACACATATTAATTAAAAATTAATTTATTTCTGAAGAGGTGGCTGAAAGAATTGTGAACTCTTAAAATTTGGGTCTTATTTTGTTTCTAAGTTTGACACAATATGACTGTTCTTGACAGCTGATCTGCAGCAGATGTAGGGATCACATGCTCAAGCGAGCAGCTTCCATGCTCTAAGCCTCTCATTTCGTTGTTGGCCCTGTAGTAACCTGCAAGGTCTGGGATAAAACATAGCCATGTCCATATTAACTCTTGTTTTACCCTTGTCCATGAAAGTCTGTCTCAGCAATCCTTTTAGCAATCGCTGTTTCTGAGTAGCATCCTTTTGTCATTTTTTGGTTGGACAGTCCTTCTTTGTACTGGATGGTTCCTGTCACTGCAGAGAAGAGTAGGATGAGCCCTCTTGTACCCGTCACCTGACTTCAATATTATCAACCTTTGGTTATTCTTGATTCATTGAATCCCTTCCCTCCCTACTTTGGTGGCTCTTATCATTGTTAATGTGGAATTTTGTTCTTAAGCTGCCTAAGCTAGGGTCTTATGTATGCATATCTTATTCTCATGAGTGGACCTTATCCCATGGGCTAGGGACAATTTGAAAAAGTATTTCAACTAAACAAGTAACAGCTAAAAAAAAAAAAAGATGGGCAAAAGTCTCTAAACTACCCAGCCCTGAGTTTAGCTGATGAGGGTGCAGGCTCTGGTATCAACTAGCTTGATTGAAATTCCTAGACCACCACTTAGTAACTCTGTGGCCTTGATCAAGTTACCATACCTCTTAAGACACAGTTTCCTTAAAGAGGGATAAAAATTCTTTTTTTTGTGCAATCAAGGTCAAGGATCTTAACAGAGGCTGGCACAGGTAGGCATGCAGTAAATATCATCAATAATTAGTGTTCTACTACAGCTGCTGCTGCTACTGCGATTGCTATGATTACTACTGATACTATTATTACTACTGTTACTACAACTAACAGGATCACACGCAAACTCTTTTGAACTGGCTGGAGATCATGTATACCTCAAATTTGTCCTGTAAGAGGTTCACCTATGAGGGGGTTTGTGAGTTATCAAAAGGCTTATTAATATTAAATACTTACTAATTATGGAATTTGGAAGTTAACTTGCCATTCGTCTTGCTCTAAGCTAACAAGGAAGTACAATTAATTTTTCTAAGTTTTGTGATAAAGTGGTAACTTTTCACTAAGAGGGTCAAAAAAGCAGTGAACTGCCTTTGAATTGTGAAAGCCTGTCAACCCTTACCTTATTCTGTTACTTGATACTCTGCCAGTCACCTCATCCCATTATTCTTGTCAGATTAATGATCTGAGCTTCTCCCCGGGCCCTCTGGAACACATTGTCCTTTTCTTTTTCCCAGTAGGAATCCCTGAGGTGTGATTCTCTGACTTTTTCTTTCCATCTCAGGCCTTCGGGTTTTTTGTCATCGTGGCCGTGTCTGGTGTGACCCAATACATGACTTCCACTGCAGGGCTCCTGGGTTCAGAGGGACACAGGCAGGAAACCCCCAAATGGGGTGGTTGTAGGGATTAAATGAATCAGTGTGCAGAGGGCTGTGCCTTTTCTGTGCTGAGCATGTGATGAGGACTTCGTGTTACAGCCATTTGGGGCTTCCTTGGTATCCCTTTTGTGTGTGATGCAGCTTCATCCTTGTGAAATGACATAGATGGAATTGCCATTTTCCAAATGTGTGATGATTGTTTAATAGGCACCGAAATGTGCAGTTTCTACATCTCTGGAGCTGCAGCTTTCTATTAATTTTCCTCATATTCTCTTACCTGATCACAATATTGAGTTTATACAGTATATACAATTTGAATTTTCTTAGTTTTAACTATAAAATAAGGTTATTGCCTTAAAGCATTTTTACTGTCTCCTTGAACCAGGTAGATGTTACTGCTGTCCTCATTTTTATAGGAGATTGACTTTCTTGGTCAGGCACTTGGTCACTAACTGAACAAAAACTAGGGCCAGGAGTCTCTGGGTCTTTTGTTGGCATCTTTGTCTGGTGGGTAAAATAGGGGAGGGAAGGGAAGATTTGAAAGCAGAGACTCAGTAATAGCAGAAATGAGCTGTCCCTTTTTGTGGCTACCTGTTATATTGGGACAAATAATATGCTGTTTCACCTGGACTGTTTTTGCCCTTTTCCCTGTGTATCTTTATGCCTCTTAGGTCCTGTAGTTTGAAATAACAGTTAAACAGGGGAGAAGTTAAATTTGCATATATTTCTTTGAATATCATGTATATACTGCCTACCTTGAAAGCATTATTACGTTTATTGCTTTTAAGAAAGGGCTCTATTTGCTATCATAATAGAAGACATACTTTTTATTAAAAAAATTAACTCACTTTAACACACGTGCGCGCACACACACACACACACACACACACACACACACATTCCCTTCCTCAGAACTTTTTATCAGAAAAGGGAAGATTAAAGAATCTAAATTAGACCTCAAGAAGCCTTTGTTTATTATGCAGCAAACTAGTGTGGTGAAGAGGCTCACATCCTTGGTTCTGTTTACTGCAGTACAAATTCTGTGGGAAGCCTGTACATTTCTATTGGCCATGGATATCAAATTAGTAACTAATGTGTATTGAGAGCTGCCTTTGTGTGAGGCCAGGTTTTGCGTTCCAAATGCAGTGTGACTAATTCAGTCCTCACCATAGCCCTTCTGGGAAAGCACTGTTGCACTCATTTTACAGATGAGAAACTAAGTAGAAGTGGGGCAGTAAATTGCCCACGTCATAGGTAGAATAAGTGGTGGATCAAGGCTTTGATCCCAGCAGTCTGACTCTAGAGTCTACGCACCCCGTCTGGGATTTCCAGGGGAGGCCTCTAAATCTGGACTTAAGTAATCTCAGTTTCAGATAGAGTATCAATAGCAATCACTAGCTCTTCTATGTCTGCATAAATGGACTCCACTTTGGGCCAGGAAACGTATTCAACACTTTCCTCTGTACTTCTTTTAGCTGAGATGTACAGTGTCCCTGGTAAGGTTTTAGGGGATAGGAGAAACAATCATCTTAGGTGTCATATGGTGTAGAGCACTATATTCTTTTCAGAGTGGAAAACTTCAGGTTTGATGTAGTGATTTAAAACCCGAGGACAGTCTACTCAGGGTTTAAAAGAAAATGCTTTCCAATTTGTTATGTTTAGAGAGCCTGTGTGTGTGTGACTCCCTGATAATATACTTGAAGAGAGTGCCTTGGTAAATGTAACAGGTTCTGCTACACCATGTGATAAAAGGGGGAGTGGCTATTTGAATGTCATGCTCTTCCCATGGGATGGCATTTTATTTTATAATTTGATGCTCTGTCATATTGTCAGGAAGAGCTTAGTGCTTTGTCTGGCAAGTGACTAAGTCTGTTTGTCCGGAATTAATGAGAGACACTATGTTAAGCAATCAGAAATTCATATCAAACAGGTCACTTTGGGGTGGTTTCTGCAAATCTATTTAATCTAGAATTTTTAAAAAAATAGTGACTACTGGGCTCGGTGACTCAACCTGTAATCCCAGCACTTTGGGAGGTGAGTGGATTGCCTGAGTCCGTGGGTTTGAGACCCGCCTGGGCAACTTGGTGAGACCTCGTCTCTGCAATACATAAAAAATTAGCTGGGTGTGGTAGTGTGCACCTGTAGTTCCCGCTACTTGGCTACTTGGAAGGCTGAGGCGGATGGATTGCTGGATCCCAGCAGGTCAAGGCTGTGGTGGCCGGGAGCGTCCCACTGCACTCCAGTCTGGGCGACAGAGTGAGATTCCAACTCTTAAAAAAAAAAATAGTGGCTACTCTTAATGTACTATCAAATTGATGATTTCACGACATTTGATTTCTGAAGAACTTTCTAGAAGCATACTCATCCTATACATTATACACATTATATATTACAAACACTTCATACATTATGTAAGGTAGATATCATGCTTTTTTCCACTTACTTTTGCCTTTTTGATGTGTATATGTAATGGTCTGAATGTTTGTGTCTCCTTAAAATTCATATGTTGAAGCCTGATCACCAGTCTGATGATGTCTGGAGGTTGCCTTTAGGAAAGGATAAAGTCATGAGGGCTAAGCCCTCATGAATGGGATTAAGTGCCCCTGTAAAGGAAACCCCAGAGAGCTTCCTTGCCCCATCCCCATGTGTGGACACAGTGAGAAGGAGCCATCTGTGATCTAGAAAGTATGTCCCAACCAGATAGTGAATCTGCTGGCCCCTTGATCTTGGACTTCTCAGCCTGTAGAACTGCGATAAATGAGGTTTTGTTGTTTATGTCACCCCATCTAAGGTATTTTGTTATAGTAGGACAAGTATACTAAGTACTTATGTTTTGTGAATTTCCCATGTGTATTCCATGTGAATTTTCCATGTGAATCCCATGTGAATTTCTCTAGTTTTTCATAACAGAAAAAATCAAATCTAGTACTGAGCTAAGGCAGCCTAGAACTCTTGAAAATTATCATCACACCCGTCTCAATATATCTA